AAAGTGCTGTGGTTTTGTGGATCTAAATTTTAAGTTAAGCTCTATGGAAAGAAGTAATAGTGAGGAATTTTAAAATCTGGTCTCCCATATTTCTTTAAGGCTGCCAATGAGTGGATTCCAGAAAGGGGATGTGAGCATTGTACGATCCAACAGCCACTTGCTAAGGGCCCCCAATAGCCAGGCATTGGGATGGGCAAGGCTCATATAGAGACACAAAACACAGCTTCTGCCTTCAGTAGGTTCTCACCTAGAGGGAAACGAGATACGAAAACAAGGAGCAGTAGGGTAGTAATATAATACAGAGGGTACGCCTGGGGACATGGAGCATTTAGGAGCAACGCCCTGCCCAGACCTGAGTGCAGCTGGCTAGTGGGCTGGATCTTCTGGAGGAGGTGACATTTAAACTGAGTCTCAAAGAACAGAACAAATGTTAGGTAGCTGAGGATGTCTTAGAGGCAAGTGAGCAGCCTGGGTGCAGCTAACATGTAGCAATAATCACGGAGAATCCTCGGAATCCACGTCCTAGCACGTTCCGATGAGGGCAGAGTCTGTGAGTTGGAGGATTGCTGAAGACACGGGACGGGGAGGCAGATGGCCAAATTTAGGAGAACCTGCAGTGCTACACTCAGGAGTTGAGTTTTTTTTTAAGATTTTTTATTCACTTATTTGAGAGAGAGAATGCAAGCATGAGCAGGAAAGGGGCAGAGGGAGAGGAACAAGCTGACTCCCCCCTGAGCACAGAGCCCAACATGGGACTCCATCCCAGGACCCTGAGATCAAGACCTGAGCTAAAGTCAGACGCTTAACTGACTGAGCCACCCAGGCACCTTAAGGAGTTTAGACTTGATCCCCAACACATGGGACATCACTAAAATATTTTAATCGAAGGAGGACACTAGGGAACGTCTTAACTGCTTCTTCTCCCATCTCAAATTTTGAAGTTAGAGCTGTACAGTTGAAAAGAACCTCAAGGGGAAGAATTCTCATGCTACCTTTATTTTTTTTAAGAATGAAGATCAGGTACTATAGGCTTGTTAAAACAAATTCAAACAGTATAGAAGTGCACAAAACAAAAGAGGAAAATTTCAAGACTTCCCTCCCTCATCCTTTCAACCAAATCCTACTCCCTAGGGTTAATCACTATTTTGAGTTTCATGTGCATCCATGTATTTATTTTCTAAATATATACAAAAGCATTTATATGTAACAAAAATTTTTGTGAGCTCTCTAATAGAGAATGCATCGGGCTACATATATTGGTCTGCGATATGCCTTTCTCGCTTAATATATTGTCAGTACAGATCAAGCGCATTCTTTTGGACTGTATAGTATCCCACTGTATGGCCTGGTTATGTCCCAAAGGTATTTAACCATTTCCCTGCTGGTGATCTTTTAGGTAGTTCCCAATTTTCTAGTCATTGCTGCAGTGAACATCCTTGACTATGTGCATATGTATGTGTGTTTTCCTAAAGGATAATTTCTTAGGATGGAATTACTAGGTTGAAGGATCTAGGCATTTAAAATTTTGAAAGTTGTAGCCACATAAAAATTTAGGAGGTGATAATGGAGTACATCTTCCATGCTAGTATTATAAGTTTTATAATTTAATACACATACTTTTATTTTAGAAGTATTTTGCATTTGGAACTACTTAATATTTTTACTCAGATGGAAGTTCTTAATTATGGACTGAAAAAGTGGATAAATGTTCAGGAATAACAAAATAAGCCTTAATAGGCAAAAGCACAGAAAATGAGCAGTTCTTTGTAGAGTGGTGCATTATTAGCAAGAGTGCAGGATCTAGAGACAGACAATATAGGTCCAAATCCTAACAGCTATGAGACTGTGGACAGGTTTTTAAGTTTCTCTCTGCTTTAGTTTACTTATTTATAAAATGCCTACAATAATAGTACCTACCTCATAGGGTTCTTGTAAAGATTAAACAAGAGAAATCACATATAGCTCTGAACTTGCTTCCTGGGTTGTGGTAAATGTTCAGAAATGTCAGCTGTTAAAAGGATGAAAATCAAGACTATTGAAGCTAATGATACTAGCTTTTTACTTTTTACTTTCCATTGGCATACACCCCCACCTTCAAAGGTCTTCCTCTAGATTTTCTGACATTTCTGAAATAATCTCCCACCATGATGTATTGTTTCTTTTAGAGATTGCTGGACTCGATTTGCTAGTATTTTGCTAAGGATTTCTATGTCTATGTTCATGGGTCATATTGGTCTCATGTTGTTTCTTTTTTTCTCTCTTGTAGCTCACTCTCAGATTTTCATATTAAGGTGATGCTGGCCTCATGAAATGAGTTGGAAAGTATTCCATCCTCCCATTTTCTGAAAGAGTTTGTGAAATGTTGGTATGTTTCTTAAACATTTGATAGAATTCAAAGTGAAACCTTCTGGGCCTAAAGTTTTCTTTGTGGGAAATTTTTAAATTTACATATTTAATTTCTTTACAGGATACAGGGCTTATTGAGATTTTCTACTTCTTCAGTCATACTTGGCAAATTGTATCTTCTAAGGAATTTGCCCATTCATCTAAGTTGTTGCATTTATTGACAACAAAATACTCATAATATTCATTTATTAGCCTTGTAATGTTGGTAGCATCAGTGGTGTGTAACTGATATTGATCATTTTTGTCTTCTCTCTTTTTTCCTTAATGCATCTAGCTAGGGGTTTATACATTTTGTTGAAATTCTCCAACTAGCTTTTGGTTTCAATGATTTTCTCCATTATTTTTGTTTTATATGTCATTGATTTCTGCTTTTATCTTTGTTATTTTCTCCCTTCTATTTTTTTAGGTTTAATTTGTTCTTCTTTTCTTGCCTTTTTAAAAAAAATTTTTTTTAATTTAAATTCAATTAGCCAACATATATTCTTTTCTTGCTTTTTAGGATAGAATCTTAAATTACTGATTTTAGACCTTTCTTATTTTCTAATATTAACATTTAATGCTATACATTTCCTTTGAGACACTGTTTTAACTGCACCTCATAAATTTGGATATGTTTTCATTTTCATTCAGTTCAAAATATTTTTTAAGTTCCCTTATGATTTCTTCTCTGGCCCATGTGTTGTTTAGAAGTGTGCTATTGATTCCTAAATACTTGGAGTTTTCCCAAATAGCTGTTACTGATTTCTAATTTAATTTCACTATGGTCAGAGGACAAACCCTATGATTTCAATACTTTTAAATTTGTTAGAACTTGTTTTATGACTAACATATGGTCTCTCTTGATTAATGTTCCAGGTGAACTTTTAAAAAATGTGTAATTTTGCTGTTGTTGGGCAGAGTATTCTATGAATACCAATTAGGTACAGTTGATTCATGGTATCATTCAAGTCTTCAATATTCTTGCTGGTTTTGCCTTCTTTCTTTATTGATTATAAGTGAAAAGTGTTGAATACTCCAACTGTCACTGTGGATTTTTAAATTTCCTTTCAATTCAGGTTGGGTTTTTGTTGTTTGGGGTTTTTTTTAATTTCACATATACTTTTATCTAATCCTCACAAAGTACCCATGAAATATGTGTGATTATTTTTATTGTACAAGGGAGTAAACTTTCACTCACAGATTAAATGATTTTCCCAATGCCACACAACTGATTCACTTCAGAGAATTTAAGTGATTCCCAGAACCCTGACTCATTTCGTCAGGTTTTGCTTCATGTATTTTGAAGCTCTATTACATTTAGGATTGTCATATCTCCCCAATAAATTGAATATTTTATCATTATTCCTAGTATATTCCTTTTTATATTGCATGCTTTATCTGATACTAATATAGCCACTCCAGCTTTCTTATAATTTATGTTTGCATAGTATATCTTTTTCCCTCCTTTTAGTTTTAACCTATCCTGTCTATATATTTGAAGTGGTTTGTTCCTACACAGCATATAATAGAATCTTAATTTTTTATCTAGTCTGGCAATCTCTGACTTTTAATTGGAGTCTTTAGACCATTTACATGTAATATAATTATCAATATGGTTGAGTCTACCATTTACTATTAGTTTTCATTTTGTCTCATCTTTTCTTGTTACTTTTATCTTCTTTTCCTGCTTCTTTTAAGTTAATTGGTACTGCTTAATATTCCATTTTATCTCCACTGTTTGTGAGATATATTTTATTATTTTATTTTAGTGATTGCTCTACACTTTACAATATGCATCTTAACTCATAATTTACTTTCAAATAGTATTATGCCACTTCATGTATAACATAAAATCTTTAGCACTCTAGACTTCCTCTGCTCTCGTTCTGTCCTTCAAGCTATTGTCATACACATTGCTTTTACGCATTTGATAAATCTCAAAAATACATTGTTATTATTTTTGCTTTATATAGTTGATTAACTTTTAAAGAAATTTAAAAATGAGGAAACAAATCTTTTCTATTTGTCCACATATTTACCATTTCTGGTATTCCAAGTTTCCATCTGTGGACATTTTGCTTTTGCCTGAATAATTTTGTTTAACATGTCTTTTAGTATATATATGCTGGCAACAAAGTTCCTCAAGTTTTGTTTGTCTGATAATGTTTTTATTTCACCTTTGGTTTTTGTTTTTTTGCTTTTTTGTTTTTAAGATTTATTTATTTATTTGAGAGAGAGCATGTATGTGTGTGTATGAACAGGGGGAAGGGCCGAGGAAGAGAGAGAGAATCTCAAGCAGACTCCCTGCTGAGTGCAGAGCTGGACGTGAGGCTTGATCTCATGACCCTGAGGTCATGACCTGAGCTGAAACCAAGCTTCAGACACTCAACCAATGAGCCACACAGGCACCCTTATTTCACTTTTGTTTTTGAAGGCTATTTCCATCAGATATTGGATTCCAAGTTGACTTTTCTCTTTCAGCACTCTAAAGGTGTTATTTAATTGTCTTCTGGCTTGCTAAATTTCTGAGGTGAAGTTTGTAATCATTTTTATGTCTATTTCTCTGTACTTAATATGTGTTTTTCTCTGACTGCCTTTAAGATTTTTCTCTTCAACATTCGTTTTCAGATATTTGATTATTATGTAGCTTGGGTTTTTTCATGAGTTTTTAAGTTTCTCAGATTTATGAAGTATAGTTTTCAGTGAATTTTGAAGTGTTTTGGCCATTATTTCTTCAAATATTTTTCTGTCCTCTCTTTCTTCCTTTCCCAATTATGGTAGATCATTTGATATTATCTCACCAATCACTAAGCCTCCTTTCATCTATTTTTTTTAAAGATTTTATTTATTTATTTGAGAGAGAGAATGAGATAGAGAGAGAGAGCATGAGAAGGGGGAGGGTCAGAGGGAGAAGCAGACTCCCTGCTGAGCAGGGAGCCCGATGCAGGACTCGATCCTGGGACTCCAGGATCATGACCTGAGCCGAAGGCAGTGACTTAACCAACTGAGCCACCCAGGTGCCCTCATCTATTTTTTTTTCAGTCTTTTTTCTCTCTGTGGTTCATCTTGGATCAATTTAATTGCTATGTTTATACATTGACTAATCTTTTCTTCTGCAGTGCCTAATCTGATGTTAATCTTATCCACTAAAATCTTCAGTCCAGATAATTGCATTTTTTTTAATCTCTAGAAGTCACAGTTGGTTTTTTATATTCTTCATTTTTCCTCTGATTTTTTTTTTTTGTTTTCCTTTAAATACTTATACATAATAATAAAATCTGTCTTAACATCATGTGTGCTAATTCCATTATTTTATCATTTCTAGGTCTGTTTCTCTTTTTTTTTTCAAGGTTTAAATAGACTTTATTGTTACAAGGAGGGCCTTACCGAGTAGGGCCTTATAAACCAATATATGTGGTCCCAGGATGTCACCATGGAGAAATGGAGAGGTCATGACTGCAGAAGAGGTCATTGTAATTGAAGGACATGATCCCGGGAAGACCGGCCAGGGATGCAGCAGACATGATCAGGAGAGGCCAGGGGTGGTCAGGTCACAGGGTGAGGGACAGGACAGCCCCCTTCACTCCCGCTTCTTGCAGCTCTCCAGATGCGACAGGACCCAGCCCGATGGCAGGAGGAAACACAGGAAGCAGGAGGTGAGCCCAATGGCAACATCCATGGTCCCAAGCTCCTCCCACGGAGGCTTGGAATGGATCCGGGCACACTGCACTGGGAGCCTCCGGGTGAGACCTGTCAGGCCCCTCAGCAGCTGCGCCGTCGACAAAGACATGACCGCACGGAATGACGACAGTTGCCAGCTACTGCCCAAGGTCGGGAAGTCAAAATGGCCTCTAGGTCTGTTTCTCTTAACTGATTCTTCTTCTTCTTGTATTTTTTTCTTGCTTTTAAGCATGTCCAGTGATTTTTTATTTGATGCTGACATTGTTATTGTTACATTATTAAGTGTCTGTATTGTGTTGTCTTCCTTTAAAGAGCATTGGGCTTTGTTTTGGCAGGCAGTGACGTTAATTGTTCCATCACTTTGATTCCTTTGACACCTGTCTTTAAGCTTTACTGGAGAGAGATGAGAGCTGTGCTCTCCATTATGGTAGTCACTAGCTGTATGTGGCTATTAAAATGTGACTAATCTGAATTAAGATGTGCTATAGGTATAAACTAGACTGCAGATTTTGAAGACTTAGTATGAGAAAAAGAACACAAACTTCCTCATTAATAATTTTTATATTGATTACATGTCAAATTGATAATAGTTTGGATGTATAGGGTTAAGTAAAATATATTATTAATTTTATCTACTTTTTTTTCCTTTGTACAGTGGTTACCAGACATTTAAAATTACATATGTGGCTTGCATTATATTTCTGTTGGACAGTGCTGTTCTACAGCAGAGGTCAGCAAACTACAGCTCACAGGTTGGCCACTTGTTTTTTGTTAATAACGTTAATGAAGTTTGTTAACACAGCCACACCCATTCACTTATGTATTTTCTATGGCTGCTTTCACACTACAATGGCAGATCTGAGTAGTTGTGATGAAGACCATATGACCCACAACCCAAAAATGATTGTGATCTGTAAATTTAAGAAAAGTTTCCAACCCCTGGTCTAGAATATTTCATTCGAAGGATAGTTCAGACCTATTACTAACATATGATTACTTGAGGGTATCCACTGAATGTTCCAAGGATGAACAAGGACTCTCCACTTGGGCTAACCAAACTTTCTCCCAGTTGATGTGTGCCCTGAGATTTATTCAGCTTACAACTCACCAGTCTTTTCTGTCCAATCTTGTGGAGTGTCATTCTATACACTTGTGTCCTGGTACTCAGCAAAGACTCAAAAGATTCCTATACATATTTCTGGAGCAATTTTTCTGCATAGCCCCCTCCTTCCCAGAACTCTGCCCCACTACCTCTAGCCATCTCAGCCTCCTCAAACTCTGGCCTCCATCTTATCAACTCAGCAAAGCTACCAGAATCTGTTTGGGTCCCCGTTCCCGAGTCAACAGTCTAGAAATTGCTTCCAGGCAGAAAGCCACGGAGTTACTGAGTTCACTTGTTTGTTTCTCTTCTTTCAGTAATCATAATCCTATGCAGACTATTGTCCAATGTCTGAAAGCCATCGTTTCATATTTTATCCGGCTTTTTAATTATTTATGGTGGGCATTTAAGTCTGGTCCTTGTTACTCCATCATGCCTACAAAGAGAAATCCCCTCGACTTACTTTTTGATAGGTGGAACTTTCTAGATAGTGCACTCTGAGTCTTCAGACTTTCCAGAGGACGTTTGTTGGATTTGACTGACTTGTGTGGAGATAGAGAAGTAAGTAAGTGTATGTTTGCCCAAATAGTTGATGATACACTATATTATTGCTGACTTGGGTTTTTTTATGTCCAGGTTATGACAGAAAGGACAGAAATGACTTTATAGGAGAAAGTGAAAGCAGGCTAATCTTGTTCCTGGGCATTTCTGAATTCATTTGTGCTTTTATATCAGAGGTACATCAAACATATTAGCAGGCCTATAAAGGATGTGCCTTGCCTCTTTTAAAAGCATATGAAAAGTTTAAGAAGTGATTACTATTAGCACCAGATGCTATATTAACTTACACAGATAGATCTGTCCATCTCCAGGAGTTTATAGTTAAAAGAAAGAAATGATCCCAAATATAAACAGGTGATAGATACAAGTAGGTAGAGTGAGAAAGAAAGAGATTCCAAAAATGTTTTTTATATTAGTGGTATTTCTGTGTTAAGGGATGGAAATACCAAGTAGTTGACAAAACAAACAAACAAAACTTCATTAATTTTCTTGCACCTGATTATAAACATTTCAGAAAAATGTGAGGAAAGAATGCATTTGTTGAAAACAGGATGAGAAATGATAGTTTAGCCCAAGGAGAGGGAAGTGACTGGTCTCGGAAAGGCATAAGACTGAATATGTGAGTCAAAAATAAATTCAAGAATCAGAAGGTTAGGGGCACCTGGGTGGTTCAGTCAGTTAAGCATCGGACTCTTGATTTAGGCTCAGGTCATGATCTCAGGGTTATGAGATCAAGCCCCTAGTCGGGCTAGCACTCAGCAGGGAGTCTGCTTGAGATTCTGTCTCCCTCTCTCTCTGCCCCTCCCCCACTCAAATAAATAAATAAAGCTTTAAAAAAAGAATCAGAAGGTTAAAGCAGTCAAGGGAGTGAAGATGAAAAAGAAAAGGATTCAGGACACAATAGTGCCAGGCTCGTAGCTGATGCTCGATGATGAATGGATAGGTAAATGAACCAATGGATGGATAGATATAATAGAAAAGAATAAATGTGATGGCTGAGGGTAGGAATTTGATCTCGCCGTGGAGAAAGAAGGAATCTAATGAAGATAGAGGGAATTGTAGTGATGGGTTTTGTAGGATGGCAATTTGTAACTACTTCAAGGGCAAATGAGTTTTCTCCCAGCTAACTGATGCTCAAAACCTCAGATCAAAGTCACTTCCTTAACGAGGTCTTCTCTGATCACTAATCTAAATTAACTCACCTGTTGTTTCTTCTCATGGCACCCTATGCTTTCGCTTCATAATACCGATCGTTTATAAACAAGTGTTTTGTGGTGTTTGTTTAACATCTGTTCTTCCACTAGACTGCAGGCTCCATAAGGGAGAGAACCATGTTCTGCTTTTGTTGCGAACCACTGTGTCCTCCAGACCCAGCATGAAACCTGGCACGTAGTAAGCTCTCAATATTTATTGATTTATTTATTGATTAAATGCACAAATAAGTGCATGAATCCATGAGTCAATGAGATTCGACCATGTGGACATGCAGAACTGTGAGGTCTATACAGCCTTGGGAGGGCTGAAGCCTCGTTCATCCAAGGAGTGAATGTAGTGCAATATAAAATGCCCCGGAATGGGAGTCAGAAAGTCTGAATTTTAACCTCTGCCTCTGCTATTTACTCACTGTGTTAACTAGGGCTAGATAATTTACCCAAACTTGTGTTTTCTGATCTCTTAAATGAGGATAATATACCACACATGGTTGTTATGAAGACGAAGAAAATTTCAGAACTTTTCAAAGGCTGTCTTCCGAGACGCCCCCCAGCCCAACCCCAGCCCTCGGAAGGAGAAGGGGAGGTTCCCATCTCTACAGAACTAAAGGCACAACTCAAAACAAAAGCAACTCCTTTGAAATGAGTTTCATCTTGAAAGTTCATGAAAATGTTGCATTTCACACTATAATATATACCTAATATGGTTTCAATATTTAAATTACATTTTGGGCGCCTGGGTGGCTCAGTTGGTTAAGCGACTGCCTTCGGCTCAGGTCATGATCCTGGAGTCTCTGGATCGAGTCCCGCATCGGGCTCCCTGCTCGGCGGGGAGCCTGCTTCTCCCTCTCCCGCTCCCCCCTTTGTGCTCTTTCTCTCTCTCACTCTCTCTCTCAAATAAATAAATAAAATCTTTAAAAAAAAAAAAAATTACATTTTAAGTTATCCACTGGTTACCTTAAGTAAAAAAAAAAAAAAGTTAAGTACTTTTTTTCCCCATAAAATAATTGAGTAAAATTGATGTTCATAAAAAACGCATATTATCCTTTGGTTTTCCATATTTATGAAATACATGGATTTCTGTGAAATTGCCTGCCATGTGACAGTAGGTTCTCCATAAATGTTTGCTGAATCTGAATCTGTCCACCAGAGGAGCATCATAATTAAAACAGGCAGAACAGGTACTATGAGGATTCCTTCCATAGGAGTAGTGCCGTGGCAAGCTTCCTAGTCTGGAGATGAATCAAGAGGTACAGGTCAGAAGTGACCTGGAACTTTATTTAAATCTAGCTAATCCAAAGGAAGTGATTATTGCTATAAAAAAATGTAGGATTTATTTAATAGATAGTTGTATATATACTATAAATAACTATGGTTATTTGTAATAATGTGTTATTATATATAATAGTGTTCACTCATAAAATAATATATTGGATTATTTATAGAGGAAAAAATATACTTATCAAATATTACTTTTATCTTTTTTTTCTTAGAACCTAATATAAAAAAAAAAAGACTTCCCTCTCTACATTAACATTAGAAATTGCTTCTGAATCTGAATCAGCCACGAATATATACCCTACACATTCAGCCATGGCTCAATTTTCATTTCCAAAGCTTTGACCACTGAAAACATTAAGCACAGGGCCTCTAAAGCAAACACCCCTATGACCTATGAGGGTGGTCCGCCCTCAGTTTCCTCAATGTAAAGTTTGGGTAACAATACTTACCTCCAGGGCTGGTTACAGCATTAAATGCAATGACGCACATGAGCATGCCTGGTACAGTGCCTGGCACACAGCGACCAGGAACACCCACGTTCTAGAATTTATTCGCTGCTCTCTCATCACTGCCCACTTGTTATGGGCTGAACTGTGTCCTTCCCAAAATGCATATGTTCAAGTCCTAATCCCTGGTACCTCAGAATGTGACCATATTTGCTGATAGGGTCTTTACAAAGTAAATAGGTTAAAATGAGGGTGGGCCCTAATCCAGTGTGACTGGTGTCATTATAAGAAGAGGAAATTTGGATACAGGCAAGTATAGAGAGAAGACAACGTGAAGACACAAGGAGAGTTGGCCATCTACAAGCCAAGGAGAGGGCCTAGCACAGGTCCTTCCCTCACGGTCCTAACAAGGAACCCGTTTGGCTGACTCTGTGACCTCAGATATCTAGTCTCCATATCTGTGAGAAAATAAACTTCTGTTATTTAAGACAGGTTGTGGCAGACTCAGCAAACTAATACACCGCTAGAATCCAAGCTCCATGAGGACATGAGGACAGAGATTTTTCTTTTTGTTCTATGTTGTACCCCGAGTGCCCCTAATAAGTAATTGTTGAACTACCACATAAATGTTCAGTCCTGTACTTGGCACAAGATAGCAAATATTTTAAGACTGAATAAATTATTTTATTTTCCAAATACCAAATCAGGATATAATCTGAGAAAAACAAAGTTATGTAAATGTATTTACGTAAGCGTTGTAAAACATTAAATATTGAATCGCCCTTAGCAGATACCTTAATTGAGAAGGGCAAAACGTCATGGTATTCAAGCTGGTCTTGGAAAATCCAACTTTGACAGAGTAAATCATCAATTGTTTGATGTCTCTACTCCTCGGCCTAAATTTAAGCACTGTCCCATCTAACTCTCACTGGTCTTTCAAACTTGTTCCCCAAGTCCACAGGATCCCCTCGCTAGAATCACAGTGGCCTGTGCATCTTCTGGCTACATCATCCTTCTAGGCTCAGCTGCTCTCCCAGGAAGCTTTTCCTGACCCTCTGAAGCCAAAGTGATACCACGCTCATTTTGGACTACCATTCAAAAAATATATCACTTACCTCCTCATACCATTAGTTATCTCTGTGTGAAGATATGTGTCTGGTTTCCATTTCGGACTAAGGTCTCTGAGGACAGGAACCTTGAAAAATACTTAATTCTACCCCTATCTAAATAGGGGTCCAGCAAATATTATAAATAGATTTTGAATTAAATCACTGGAAAAAACATATCAGCATTCGTACCCAGCCACTGCCCTGACAGGTGTGAAGAGCCAGAGAAGGCACTGGCAAATCCAAATCTCTTTTAACAACTTGGGCACAAATCCTCCCACAAGTGGGAAATAGAGAATAGTAATGACGTTCTTGATATGGGGCTACAGCCCCCAAAGAGTATAGCATGACCATTGCCCATCAGTCTAATAAACATCCACCATGCCTTATTTTTGAATAATGCCTATTTAATTTACATTGGGAGTTTCCTTTCCAAGGATTCTTACTCTTTGTTCCTCTGGGTGTTTTTTGGATCGAATAGCCACTTACCTCAGATAACCAAATCAGCAGCAGGATGCGGAAATTCATTCGATCTCTGCCTCTGTGGGCTTTGGCAAACAGTTAGGGTGTGGTTTGTGCGATCACAGGTAAAAGAAATACTGTACAGAATTAATTACTTTTTGTGTTGTTGTTTTTCACAGTCAGTGATTTTTTCTGATTCCCTTGATAGGAAATGTGAGCCAATATAAGGAAGTCTTTTCTCTTGATTTAAGGCAAAACCTTTAGGAAAAATGAGTGTGATATTCTTCAGGATGCTTTCTGACCACTTGATCTCATTTTCATATGACCTTTAAAAATCCTGTTATGTTTCTTTTCATTTAATTGGATCCAAGCAATAATGATAAATAAAGATAATTGGAGAAGGAGGGCCCTAACCTCACACATAGGCATGGATGTCACCTTCTTTGATTATTTTCGTGACCATTCCTTGTTTAATCCCCAGTCTAATTTT